ACTTTGGGCTTAACATTGTTGAGGCTTGAAGGACTCAGTCTGATTGAGCGCTTTGGGCTTAGCATTGCCGAGGCTTGGTGGGCTCAGTCTAGTTGAATACTTTGGGCTTAACATTGTTGAGGCTTGAAGGACTCAGTCTGATTGAGCGCTTTGGGCTTAGCATTGCCGAGGCTTGGTGGGCTCAGTCTAGTTGAATACTTTGGGCTTAACATTGTTGAGGCTTGAAGGACTCAGTCTGATTGAGCGCTTTGGGCTTAGCATTGCCGAGGCTTGGTGGGCTCAGTCTAGTTGAATACTTTGGGCTTAACATTGTTGAGGCTTGAAGGACTCAGTCTGATTGAGCGCTTTGGGCTTAGCATTGCCGAGGCTTGGTGGGCTCAGTCTAGTTGAATACTTTGGGCTTAACATTGTTGAGGCTTGAAGGACTCAGTCTGATTGAGCGCTTTGGGCTTAGCATTGCCGAGGCTTGGTGGGCTCAGTCTAGTTGAATACTTTGGGCTTAACATTGTTGAGGCTTGAAGGACTCAGTCTGATTGAGCGCTTTGGGCTTAGCATTGCCGAGGCTTGGTGGGCTCAGTCTAGTTGAATACTTTGGGCTTAACATTGTTGAGGCTTGAAGGACTCAGTCTGATTGAGCGCTTTGGGCTTAGCATTGCCGAGGCTTGGTGGGCTCAGTCTAGTTGAATACTTTGGGCTTAACATTGTTGAGGCTTGAAGGACTCAGTCTGATTGAGCGCTTTGGGCTTAGCATTGCCGAGGCTTGGTGGGCTCAGTCTAGTTGAATACTTTGGGCTTAACATTGTTGAGGCTTGAAGGACTCAGTCTGATTGAGCGCTTTGGGCTTAGCATTGCCGAGGCTTGGTGGGCTCAGTCTAGTTGAATACTTTGGGCTTAACATTGTTGAGGCTTGAAGGACTCAGTCTGATTGAGCGCTTTGGGCTTAGCATTGCCGAGGCTTGGTGGGCTCAGTCTAGTTGAATACTTTGGGCTTAACATTGTTGAGGCTTGAAGGACTCAGTCTGATTGAGCGCTTTGGGCTTAGCATTGCCGAGGCTTGGTGGGCTCAGTCTAGTTGAATACTTTGGGCTTAACATTGTTGAGGCTTGAAGGACTCAGTCTGATTGAGCGCTTTGGGCTTAGCATTGCCGAGGCTTGGTGGGCTCAGTCTAGTTGAATACTTTGGGCTTAACATTGTTGAGGCTTGAAGGACTCAGTCTGATTGAGCGCTTTGGGCTTAGCATTGCCGAGGCTTGGTGGGCTCAGTCTAGTTGAATACTTTGGGCTTAACATTGTTGAGGCTTGAAGGACTCAGTCTGATTGAGCGCTTTGGGCTTAGCATTGCCGAGGCTTGGTGGGCTCAGTCTAGTTGAATACTTTGGGCTTAACATTGTTGAGGCTTGAAGGACTCAGTCTGATTGAGCGCTTTGGGCTTAGCATTGCCGAGGCTTGGTGGGCTCAGTCTAGTTGAATACTTTGGGCTTAACATTGTTGAGGCTTGAAGGACTCAGTCTGATTGAGCGCTTTGGGCTTAGCATTGCCGAGGCTTGGTGGGCTCAGTCTAGTTGAATACTTTGGGCTTAACATTGTTGAGGCTTGAAGGACTCAGTCTGATTGAGCGCTTTGGGCTTAGCATTGCCGAGGCTTGGTGGGCTCAGTCTAGTTGAATACTTTGGGCTTAACATTGTTGAGGCTTGAAGGACTCAGTCTGATTGAGCGCTTTGGGCTTAGCATTGCCGAGGCTTGGTGGGCTCAGTCTAGTTGAATACTTTGGGCTTAACATTGTTGAGGCTTGAAGGACTCAGTCTGATTGAGCGCTTTGGGCTTAGCATTGCCGAGGCTTGGTGGGCTCAGTCTAGTTGAATACTTTGGGCTTAACATTGTTGAGGCTTGAAGGACTCAGTCTGATTGAGCGCTTTGGGCTTAGCATTGCCGAGGCTTGGTGGGCTCAGTCTAGTTGAATACTTTGGGCTTAACATTGTTGAGGCTTGAAGGACTCAGTCTGATTGAGCGCTTTGGGCTTAGCATTGCCGAGGCTTGGTGGGCTCAGTCTAGTTGAATACTTTGGGCTTAACATTGTTGAGGCTTGAAGGACTCAGTCTGATTGAGCGCTTTGGGCTTAGCATTGCCGAGGCTTGGTGGGCTCAGTCTAGTTGAATACTTTGGGCTTAACATTGTTGAGGCTTGAAGGACTCAGTCTGATTGAGCGCTTTGGGCTTAGCATTGCCGAGGCTTGGTGGGCTCAGTCTAGTTGAATACTTTGGGCTTAACATTGTTGAGGCTTGAAGGACTCAGTCTGATTGAGCGCTTTGGGCTTAGCATTGCCGAGGCTTGGTGGGCTCAGTCTAGTTGAATACTTTGGGCTTAACATTGTTGAGGCTTGAAGGACTCAGTCTGATTGAGCGCTTTGGGCTTAGCATTGCCGAGGCTTGGTGGGCTCAGTCTAGTTGAATACTTTGGGCTTAACATTGTTGAGGCTTGAAGGACTCAGTCTGATTGAGCGCTTTGGGCTTAGCATTGCCGAGGCTTGGTGGGCTCAGTCTAGTTGAATACTTTGGGCTTAACATTGTTGAGGCTTGAAGGACTCAGTCTGATTGAGCGCTTTGGGCTTAGCATTGCCGAGGCTTGGTGGGCTCAGTCTAGTTGAATACTTTGGGCTTAACATTGTTGAGGCTTGAAGGACTCAGTCTGATTGAGCGCTTTGGGCTTAGCATTGCCGAGGCTTGGTGGGCTCAGTCTAGTTGAATACTTTGGGCTTAACATTGTTGAGGCTTGAAGGACTCAGTCTGATTGAGCGCTTTGGGCTTAGCATTGCCGAGGCTTGGTGGGCTCAGTCTAGTTGAATACTTTGGGCTTAACATTGTTGAGGCTTGAAGGACTCAGTCTGATTGAGCGCTTTGGGCTTAGCATTGCCGAGGCTTGGTGGGCTCAGTCTAGTTGAATACTTTGGGCTTAACATTGTTGAGGCTTGAAGGACTCAGTCTGATTGAGCGCTTTGGGCTTAGCATTGCCGAGGCTTGGTGGGCTCAGTCTAGTTGAATACTTTGGGCTTAACATTGTTGAGGCTTGAAGGACTCAGTCTGATTGAGCGCTTTGGGCTTAGCATTGCCGAGGCTTGGTGGGCTCAGTCTAGTTGAATACTTTGGGCTTAACATTGTTGAGGCTTGAAGGACTCAGTCTGATTGAGCGCTTTGGGCTTAGCATTGCCGAGGCTTGGTGGGCTCAGTCTAGTTGAATACTTTGGGCTTAACATTGTTGAGGCTTGAAGGACTCAGTCTGATTGAGCGCTTTGGGCTTAGCATTGCCGAGGCTTGGTGGGCTCAGTCTAGTTGAATACTTTGGGCTTAACATTGTTGAGGCTTGAAGGACTCAGTCTGATTGAGCGCTTTGGGCTTAGCATTGCCGAGGCTTGGTGGGCTCAGTCTAGTTGAATACTTTGGGCTTAACATTGTTGAGGCTTCCATTTCCCATGCAATACGGTTTAAAGACTCAGACACTTATTCGGACCCTCTTCCATGATGGCAGATATGTAATTATGGTGTTTACTTGCCATTTCTCATGCATTAGGGTTTGAACACTCGGACACTTATTCGGACCCTCTTTGATGATGGCAGATATGTAATTATGGTGTTTATTTGCCATTTCTCTTGCATTAGGGCTTAAACACTCGGACACTTATTCGGACCCACTTGCATGCTGGTAGATATGTAATTATGGTGTTTATTTTTTCCATTTCTCATGCATTAGGGTTTAAACACTCAGACACTTATTCGGACCCTCTTGGATGATGGCAGATATGTAATTATGGTGTCACTTGCCATTTCTCATGCATTAGGGTTTAAACACTCGGACAGTTATTTGGACCCTCTCACTACAGGAAATTGCACTTTTGGCGACTACTTTTGGCGACAACGTCAATTTTTCGTAGCTAAAAGTATATTTTTGGCGACACAGTGATCAATTTCGTTAGGAAAATTGGACTTTTACCAACGCAATTTACTATCGTCGCTAAAAAAACATAACATTGATTAGGTGCCAAAAATATTGGTTAGCGCCAAAATTTCATAAATTTTAGCTACAAGTCTTATTTTTTAGAAACACAATGAGCGTTGCTATTAGTATGCTTACTGTTGGCGACGACAAGTTGGCGTGGGCAAAGAGTTAAACATTTAGCGACGATAACACTATTCGTTGGTAAAAGTTTAGTTAGTGAAACGAGGTGATTTAGTAATTTGTGTTTTTATTATAACTTTTGAAAGTTTTAAATATTCTAGTTATTGAATTGTAAAATTAAATTGATCATTGAACTAGATCACAAAATGAACTCATTGAGTCCAAACACACTCTTAAGTTCAGAATGCTAATTTGAGATAATTTAAACTCTTCCAAATAATATGGTTAGATTATCAATTTCAATATGTTTGGTTTTATTTTCAGAAACTAGTTTCAAAATTTATTTTTTTTTCTAAAAAACTAAAGAAAAATTGGGTGAAAAATTAAAAAATACTTACTATTTTTGTATAATTTTATCTTTTAGATCATAAATAATTTTTAAAATTCTAAAAAGATATTTTCGATTTATATTGCTCTCAAATTAATTTTAATTTTTTCAAAAAGATAAATCTAAAAATTATTTTGGGTTGTTTTTTTTGTTTGGTTTTTTGGTGATCTGCCTCTGAGGCGGTGAAACTTCCCTCTCAAAATTCCCTATTTTCTTTCCAGGATAGGTAAATCCTCTCATCAGATCTCCCCTCATCAATCTCCACGATTTTCACTCTTGCACACCCTTCTCTCACAATTCATAGGAAAGAGAGAATGATTGCAAATGGAATCGAAGACGAGGACAAATGGTTGACCGAAGGCATCGCAAGGATTCAACACAATTGCTTTCTAGATGCATCGCACACTGGTAATTCATCAGACCTATCAGTTAATATTTCTTCAATCAATTCTTTCATATTCAAAACCCTAATTCTCTGATTCGTGTGTTCATCAGGACTCCAACAATCTCAGAGAAGCCCTATAATATTCGGTGCAAATGTTGTCCGAGCTCTGAACATCTAGACTATCTCCACACAAACACTTTGAACTCTGTATATATAGCCTTTAATCATCGTCGACGGTTGATTTTTTTTGTTTTTTTGTTTTCTGTATCGAAATTCAATTGATTATTTGTTTACTATTGTGATGTGCCAGATATGTAAGCCTTTGATGAATTGAGAAGACTTGAAATCTTCTTTAAAGAGGAAGATAAACATGGTTGTACGGTCTCTGACCTCTATGAACTCGTCCAGCATGCTGGAAACATTTTACCCAGATTGTAAGTTGGAATCACTTGTGATTTGGTCTTTCAATTCTATTGTTTTGTTTCTACTAATCACAATATTCATGCATTTCTTGTAGAATTTATCTAACTCCTAAAATATTATCTAGTTCTTATTCTGCCCAATTTATGGAATTCATTTGTTTTTTGGAGAAATTCAAAAAAAAAATGAAAAAAAGAAAAAAAACTGAAGGTTTGACTCTGGTGGCAAAATCAAAATAAACATTGAATTTTTAATTTTATCAATTTAAATCATAATAATTTGATTTATTTTCAGTCTAAATCATCCACATATTTTAGTCATTAAACTCAATGTAGGTGTACATAAAATATTTAAAATGTCACTTTTTTGTTGAGTTTGATGATTAAAATACCAATTTTCCATTAATGTTATTTAACAAAAACAGGCAAATCAAATTTCATAGGAAAGTGAGGCAATTGAAAAACAAGGAAAAATTACATATTCTGTTTTTTGTTTTCTGCCATGCCAGTCTGTGAGGGGTAATAAAGCCATGGTAAACAAGAAATAGCTTGAAATGAAATTAGAATATTGTAACATTGTTTTGTTGTTTTGGAGATCACAAGGTTATGACATCGATGAACAAATACCCTATCCTAGGATGTTCTAATCAAATTTCATGGTTCAATTTCTAGCATAACTTCTAAGCACAAGTTTTTTGAACTTGCATTTGCTTAAATGCGTTAATGTGCTTCTTTCTTGTGCTTTAGCTGCATTGCTTTCAGGCATTCACTAAAATTAAAAGATCTATAGATCAGAAAAATAAATTAGAAGCAGAAAACCAAGGGCTGCTTCTGAATTTTGGTTCACAACTTGATTAGAGCTTAAAAGACTTGCACAAGACCATCTTGGGGTCAGCTTCTCAACAGCAGCAACAATTGAGATGCATGGAGGAACACGTCTCTTCATTTCTTGCTAGTAAATATGACGTATGAATTGAAAGCTGATGTCTCTTTCATATGTTAAACTTGTCAGTTAATTTTGTTAATCTTACATCGTTTTCTCTCAGGCCACTCAGATACTGGAATCTAGGATCTGTGAGCCCGAGATTGTTGTAAGCTCAGTCAAGAGCGCAGGATCTGTGAACCCGAGATTGCAACAGAAAAAGCTTGAGTTGGAGAAGTGATCTCGCCCGCCCACCTCTCCTGATTCCAGCAAGTCAAGAAGGCAACCCAACAAGCAATAACCAGAGTCGAGTTCCCCAGGTGGGAAATGTAGACCAAAATCTACAAACTTACAGCAAATTGATGACCAATCCAGTGAGATCAGCTGTGAAACAAGGAATTCAAGTTACCTGGAAGACGATATTTCTATGCGATCAAATGGAAACATTGTCTCAGACTCAGGGATAGACACCGAAGTCACTAGTTTGGAACGCTGTGCTGAGACCAATGGCAGCCAGAGTCCATCCATGAAGGCTGCCAAGTACTCAGTTTCTGGCGTAGACTGCAAATCTAAAGGACAAAATAAAACAACTCAAGGTAAAATTGCAACTTAATGTAGTATATTAACAAAGGTGGACAATCGTTTTGTCACTAGCTCCATCATTTTTAAATTCATTCAAAATATGATTGTATATGTTTAGCCCTCGTGAAATTATTTGCTTGATATATTAATCACGACAACATCTGCAGAAATGTAATGCTATGTAATGCACTGTAATGACAATGAGAGATTTTTTTTCATAACCAGGGTCAGATAAAGCTGAAGGAAGCTGCACTTGAATCCTTGGCAAATTCATTTTTAGAGAAGGAGAAAGATCTTGAGGATAAAATTGAAGAGTTAGAAAGAAGATTGGAAGAACTCAGTCAAAATAGTGCTAGTTTTTATGAATATCAATTCCAAAAGGTTAGTATCTTCGCAGTTCATATGATGAAATCATGCATATGTTTCTGCAATGCCTTTCATTAACTGTTATATGCAAATCATTTGTGGCATTAGTTAAAAACTCTTAATCTCATTATTAGCATAAAGATAACATTTTACTTTTCTATGTTAATTTCCTCTTGATTTTGTTGTTTGGTGAAGCACCTTTGGGATATGCCCAGTAGAGTTCAACAAGATAGAGAGCTCTTTCAAGTTGTGATTTAAATGTCATTCTCATCTAATCATAAAGTTGGAATATATGGTAGTTCATGGTATTATTATATAGGAAATGCTGTTATAAAACTGGTCATATATGACCAACCAAATTTAAGTTGTGTGTTTGGGTGTGAACATAATTTATTTGGATCTGAGCACATTCAAAGTATCCTATCTAAGTACCTATTTAATATTTGGATCTAGAAAAAATAAGAGAAGATGAGGAAAGGATTTTGGGGCCTTTTTTTTTGGTGGTAAATAGGGTGCATGAAATTAAATATAGAAAAAAGGGTTTTGCATTATTATGAAGTATTATAATGTTTGAAACTTCTTACTCCAAGAAAAAGAAAGATTAAATCTCTATTGGTTCAACTATTTGATTTTCTTTGATTTGATTACTTAACTAGAGGATACCAAGGTAGCTAAATGGGGGATACCAAGGGGTTCTTGTTGCTAGGTCTTGAACTGTGTTTGGTAACAGGTTACTGTGAAATCTAAATCTAGAGAAGAAATCAATTTCATTATTAATATATGGTAGTTCATGGTATTATTATATAGGAAATGCTGTTATAAAACTGGTCATATATGACCAACCAAATTTAAGTTGTGTGTTTGGGTGTGAACATAATTTATTTGGATCTGAGCACATTCAAAGTATCCTATCTAAGTACCTATTTAATATTTGGATCTCGAAAAAATAAGAGAAGATGAGGAAAGGATTTTGGGGCCTTTTTTTTTGGTGGTAAATAGGGTGCATGAAATTAAATATAGAAAAAAGGGTTTTGCATTATTATGAAGTATTATAATGTTTGAAACTTCTTACTCCAAGAAAAAGAAGGATTAAATCTCTATTGGTTCAACTATTTGATTTTCTTTGATTTGATTACTTAACTAGAGGATACCAAGGTAGCTAAATGGGGGATACCAAGGGGTTCTTGTTGCTAGGGCTTGAACTGTGTTTGGTAACAGGTTACTGTGAAATCTAAATCTAGAGAAGAAATCAATTTCATTATTGCTCTGTTTGGTTGCTGAGAATAGGTGGGAAAAGAACCTATTTAAGTTTGGAGTGCATTAATAGAATGCCTATCAGGTATTTTTTTATTTTTTGGGAAATACTTTTTATTTCAGGTAAAAAGCAATGCTAAAAACAATCAAAGCCCTTCAAAAATTAAAAAGATATTAAAGCATTTATGGTAGTAAAAAAAAATGATACTTTGACAATAACAATCATATAATTGAAAATCTTTCATGATGTTTGGCATTGTTGTGAGGTGTTTCATATTTTTAGCGTACACTCAAATATACTGTAATTGCAAGCACTCAGCTTCTCACCCATGCTGTGACTATAGTCTAAGTTAGAGAGGAGGCAGACCCTTTTGCCAAACACTCGACTTCTCTCTAGTTGACTGGAGTCCAATCGTGAGAGGAGTAGGACCATTTGCCAAAACCCAAAAGCACGTAACATCAAAGCTGTTAGACGTGCACCCATGTCTTTTTTTATTATGCAATCTAATTGTTAGCATCTATCAGAACATCATTTTTTTTTGGTTTGGGAAGTGCCTTTTATTTTTGTTCTGTTTCTATTCCAACTCAGCATGATAGCTAATAAATTCATTGAATAGTTCTTTTGAACTTAATTTTATAGATGTTATAAATTAAAAATACGTTAGTTTTTATTTCAAAAATTGGTTTACTGCACAAGTTAATTTAAATATGCTAGGATATAGTGACTATTATTATATAAACTTGACATGATCAAAGGAACTGAAGCTCTATCACTTTAATCTGGGTATTGAAAACAAAGCACAAGTGTATAGTCATCTGACTGTCCAAGGAAACTAATTAAGGATGTGAACAAATCTTGTGTGTTTTTTCTGTAATTTTGTAGAGAGAAGCAAACTTCGCTAAATTACGTAAGGTTGTGTTTGGATCAAGGCTTTGAAGAGGGATTTGCAGAGAGTGAGAGAGATTAAAAAAAAAGTATGGGAAGAATGAATGAAATAGAAGCTACATTTTTATCACATTTTCCTTTCCTTTTCCCTCCACAAATCCCACCCAAAATCCTAGATCCAGACCTTGTCCCATAAAGTTTGCCTCATAGGAAAAATCAAACCATGTCTATTGTAATTTGAATATCTGTTTTATTTTCGTTACACTTGAATATCTTCATACGTGGCTCTATACAAGATTTAAAATTCTGATAGAATGCACAACTAATTAAAGCATTTGAAAACAAGTCAAATTACATTACAGATGGAAAGATAATTTTTTTTTTTAAAAAAAAAAAAAATAGAAGAAAAGTAGTTCTAGCACCCTGAGTATTGCATAGCTTTGGACTAAAGTTGCAAGTTATTCATTACATTTGAGTGCATTTAGTAGTTCTGCCAAGTAATTTTGTCTTCGTTTGAATTTGCAGTACAAATATGGTCAGCTACTCTAGGTAGCAGTGGGAAAAGGCAGAGTTATCTGTCAACCATCTCAACAAGACTAGTATTGCAGAGATTGAATCTACTGTAACGTAAGTCTTCCGTTCCCTCGTTTTTCAGATTTTCTAGTAACCTTTTATTTATTTTATTTTTTAAAATGTTTTTGGTTTTCTTATCATGTTCTTTCTCTCCTTGAACAGGGCAAAAATTTGTGCGAGCCATGGTGTATATGAAGAATTTGTCTCTAGATCCTCATCCATTAATGCAGAATATGAAGCTAAAGCCTGTGACACACAGGCAGCTGTTAAGGTTAATTAAATCCCTATATAGGAAATTTTAATTTTTTTTCCCTCTATTTATCAAACAATGAACTCAAGTGGGAAATATTATGAACTTGCAAATTCATTGATGCTGGACCAGGAAACCAAGGAAGAGATAGACTCCATGTCTATCTTGTGCTTGAATCAGCTTAAGTGTGTCAGTTAGAATCATACTGAAAGCATAACAAATATCAGAAACCGAGCGGAGCAGTGTCTGAGGAAAGATTATTTGGTAGGCTTGCTTGCTTGCTTGATATATCTTTCTTAATGTTAGAATAAGATTATCAGGAAAATATTCTTATGTCTCAGGGTGTTAAAAAGTAGCTAGACATTACTTAATTTTATTCTAGGATTTTTGAGAAAATGGTTTTTAGGCTAAGAAACACGAACATGCAATTTTCAAAAAATGCATGCATAATTTTATATTTTTATTATATGTCGTATATTTGAATATTATACATCAATTAGGCACATCAATTTGGACTGTATATACTGGATTGATGAGACCTAAAAAAGTTTCATGTTTTGACAAATCATGAACTTGCCTTGCTCCTTTTAAAACCTTGAGCTACATTACATTACACTCTTGAAATCACTGGACTGATGAAAGCACACAAAGACCAAAATTGGTAGTTAGATTGTTCCAACTGAGTTTATTTATTTATTTATTTTTCTTGGGAACAGAGAGTTTATTAAATAGTGTAATTTTGCACAGGTTGATCAGCATACTAGTACAACTCCGAAGTTGAAGATAATAGGAGTGCTTAGCTTGGCATCCATCGAGGAGATGAGAACGCCTGCAGTTGGAGATCTTATGGCGAATTTTACCGGACCAAATTTGGGCTGTACTAAAAGCAAGATTCAACAACATCAACAAGGGCTGTGTCTCGGAGCATCACCTAATAATAGAACTCTGTTTGCATATGTTATTCTCTTAATGAGCTCCTTTATAAGAATATTTAGACAAATGGAAAACTTGAGTAGCTTCATCTATTGTTTATTGTTGGATGAGTCTTAAAGTCAACTGGTGCAAACACACACATATTCATCAACTGATGAGTTATAAAGTTTGCCAATTCTGAAAGCTGTGGTTGGCTTTATGTTATTTCAAAATGTATCTAATAAACTATTGTGTTTGAGAGATGCCTTTTGTAAATTTGTAAATCTTATAAAAAAATATAAATGATTTTTAATTATTTTTATCAATGCAAATTTATTGTTGTCAAAAAGTAAATCTTTCTCGACAAACAATTTTTCGGTAAATGTGTCGCTAAAGGTTACTTTTGCCCACTCATATTGTGTTGGTAGAAGTGTATTTTTTGCCAATAACAATTTGTCGTTGCCAAAAGTAAAGCTTTAGCGATAAACAAATCGTCGGCAAATGGCAACATTTACCGACGTATATGTGTCGCCAAAAGTTTAATTTTGCCGACGCATATGTTGTTGATAAAAGTATATTTTTTGCCCATGCAAATTTGTGTCGCGAAAAGTGTCACACAATCATCATATTGGAATGACTTTTACCAACGCAAGGTAAATTGCCGACGATGGATGAAGGCTTTTATCGACGACTATGTTCGCCGCTAAATGCATTACTTTTACCAACGCAATGATAATTTCGTAGACAAAAACTTTTGCCAACTCACTTTTGCCTACGGGTTGCCAACGTAGCTTTGTGTGTCGGCAAAACTCTTCACCAAATGTTATTTCAAATTGTATCTTATAAACTATTGTGTCTGAGAGATTCCTTTTGTAAATCTGTAAATCTGTAAATCTTATAAAAAATATAAATGATTTTAATTATTTTTATCGATGCAAATTTATCGTTGTCAAAAAGTAAAGCTTTCTCGACAAACAATTTTTCGGTAAATGTGTCGCTAAAAGTTACTTTTGCCCACTCATATTGTGTTGGTAGAAGTGTATTTTTTGCCAATACCAATTTGTCGTTGCCAAAAGTAAAGCTTTAGCGATAAACAAATCGTCGGCAAATGGCAACATTTACCGACGTATATGTGTCGCCAAAAGTTTAATTTTGCCGACGCATATGTTGTTGGTAAAAGTATATTTTTTGCCCATGCAAATTTGTGTCGCGAAAAGTGTCACACAATCATCATATTGGAATGACTTTTACCAACGCAAGGTAAATTGCCGACGATGGATGAAGGCATTTATCGACGACTATGTTCGCCGCTAAATGCATTACTTTTACCAACGCAATGATAATTTCGTCGGCAAAAACTTTTGCCAACTCACTTTTGCCTACGGGTTGCCAACGTAGCTTTGTGTGTCGGCAAAACTCTTTGCTAACGAATTTGGTAATAGGCGTATATTTGGTTGACATATTTCCACAAGAATGCTTACTTTATCATCATATAATAAAATACTAATGTATGGTCTTGCTTCTGTAGACTAACACCTTGTTTTCAAATAAAATTTGCTTATTGATGGTTAGGGACGGCTTAAAAATGGGAATATTGCTGCTATGAAGGTTCTTTCACCTGAATCAAGACAATGAGTAAAGGAGTTCTTGATAGAGACTAGAGTGATTTCAAATATAGAGCACCAAAATTTAGTCAAGCTCTATGGTTGTTGCGTGGATGAAGATCATAGAATTCTGGTCTACAACTACCTTGAGAATAACAGCCTTGCGTTTGCCATTTCCCATGCAATACGGTTTAAAGACTCGGACACTTATTCGGACCCTCTTGCATGATGGCAGATATGTAATTATGGTGTTTATTTGCCATTTCACATACATTAGGGTTTAAACAGTCGGACATTTATTCGGACCCTCTTGCATGATGGCAGATACCTAATTATCGTGTTTATTTGCCATTTGACATGCAATACGGTTTAAAGACTCGGACACTTATTCGGACCCTCTTGCATGATGGCAGATATGTAATTATGGTGTTTATCCACCATTTCTCATGCGTTAGGGTATAAACGCCCAGACACTTATTCGGACCCTCCTGCAAGATGGCAGATATTTAATTATGGTGTTTACTTGCCATTTCCCATGCATTAGGGTTTAACCACTAGGACACTTATTCGGACCCTCTAGCGTGATGGTAGATATGTAATTATGGTGTTTACTTGCCATTTCCGATGCATTAGGGCTTAAACACTCGGACACTTATTCGGACCCTCTTGCATGATGGCAGATATGTAATTATGGTGTTTACTTGTCATTTCTCATGCATTAAGGCTTAAACACTCGGACACTTATTCGGAACCTCTAGCGGACACTTATTCGGACCCTCTTGCATGATGGCAGATACCTAATTATGGTGTTTATTTGCCATTTCCCATGCAATACGGTTTAAAGACTCGGACACTTATTCGGACCCTTTATGTTGTTAACTTGCCATTTCTCATGCATTAGGGCTTAAACACTCGCACACTTATTCGGACCCTCTTGCATGATGGCAAATATGTTATTATGGTGTTTATTTACCATTTCTCATGCATTAGGGTTTAAACAGTCCGACATTTATTCGGACCCCCTTGCATGATGGGAGATATGTAATTATGTTGTTTATTTTCCATTTCCCATGCACTACGGTTTAAAGACTAGGACACTTATTCGGACCCTCATGCATGATGGAAGATATGTAATTATGGTGTTCAATCACCATTTCTCATGCGTTAGGGTTTAAACACTCGGAGACTTATTCCGACCCTCTTGCGTGATGGTAGATACGTAATTATGGGGTTTATTTTCCATTTCTCATGCATTAGGGATTAAACACTCGGACACTTATTCGGACTCTCTAGCATGATGGTAGATATGTAATTATGGTGTTTATTTGCCATTTCCCATGCAATACGGTTTAAAGACTCGGACACTTATTCGGACCCTCTTGCAATGGCAGATATGTAATTATGGTGTTTATTTGCCATTTCCCATGCAATACGGTTTAAAGACTCGGACACTTATTCGGACCCTCTTGCAATGGCAGATATGTAATTATGGTGTTTATTTGCCATTTCCCATGCAATACGGTTTAAAGACTCGGACACTTATTCGGACCCTCTTGCAATGGCAGATATGTAATTATGGTGTTTATTTGCCATTTCCCATGCAATACGGTTTAAAGACTCAGACACTTATTCGGACCCTCTTGCACGATGGCAGATATGTAATTATGGTGTTTACTTGCCATTTCCGATGCATTAGGGTTTAAACACTCGGACACTTATTCAGAC